GTTTAACTGCGATCTCCCATATGGATTTGTGTTTTACAAAGTTTCAGTGAAATGTTCATAAGTAAAAGCACTTAGATTTACCTGAATGTCCCTGCAAGATTTTATTATTCTGCAAATTAAAGCAACAAATTTTTCCCTAAATGCATTATTTGAGTACATTTTGTGTGTAAAATATTCTTGAGTCCCAACTCCCATCTAATGAGATTTTGATGAGGCAGAGAGCAAACCTTGAGATAAATTATGAGACAGAGATACAATTTTGATCCAATAATACCCTATGAAGGGGAGTCTTGGTGTCTCTGCATGCTTTGAGGAAGCAGTAAAGGCATTCTGGGAAGTGAATGTGTATGAAGAGCCAGCTCTAGAGAAAAAAAACACACAAAACCCCCACAAAGAAACAGAAGAATGAACCAAGTATCAAATGCTCAAGTTTGTTGGTTGATTTTTGAGCAGATTATTTAACTATACTTCAAGATTTGCTGCCTAAAGGGCCCAATGTAACACAGCTGATCATCCAACTTCATTTGGTTCCTTCCTGGAATAAGAGAATAAGAGAAAAATCCCAAACAGAAGAGCCAATTTCCAACAAAAACTGTTTGCCTTTTATTCATATGTTTTTTTAAAAAATATCCACCCTGGCATTCTCTGCCATTCCCTCTGCTCCTTGCTCTCTACAAATTCTTTTAGCATAAATTTGTATTTTTTAATCATTAGCCCTTTACAAAGCAGCCAATACATTCAACTGGAGGTAAAGGTTATAACTTTCAAAAGGGGTAGGAAATTACAGCAGCATCATTAAGCTAATGAGTTTTGGCTAAAGAGCTCTTCCTTCTCCAGCAGAACCTCAAGATGAAGCATTTTTGTTTGTACCTGGAGATTCACAGTTACACAACAGTGTTTTTCCAGACATTGAACACGTGACACTTTGCCAGGTAACAGAAGTAACTGCGAGACAAAACAAGGTGGGTCTGAGGTTGTTGATGTGATGTCAGTTCTGGTCTCCTTCAAACATCAACTTAAAAGCTGGAATTATATTTATATATTGAAAATTGCTTAAAAGCAGAGCCTCACAATGCCCCAAGTACTTTCCAAGATGAGCCTATAGTGGAAACGTTTCCTTGTCTCAAAGCAAGTTCCAGCTGATTTGTAAACTGATCATTAAACTCACCTTTCACTGTCCCAGCTCTAGAATGGATGCACCAAGTGCTTTTTTTGCAGTTCCTAAATTGGAGATATCCTGGCCTTTCAGAGAGATACATTCTCTGACCTGCAAAATTTATATAAGGATCCCAAACTGGATCACTCACCTGGGGAATGAAGGATTTCCCCCTTAAATCTGTTTTTCAGCGTCCAAGGTGATGGATTTAGGACTGTTTAGCTTTCCCCGTCTCCTTTAAGCTTTGGCTGAGGTTGTCTCATAACTTTCTTTCACAACTGCTCTATTCTCTTCTCAACAACATCATTGTAAGAGGAAGGGGGGTGAGGGCAGGAGAAAGCAGCTGAATCCAAAGGCAGCAGATTTTGGGCCACGCTGTAGCACAGAACAACTGGCTGTAAACTCCCTAGTTTTAAATCCCAGACAGGTTCCCAAGAGCCATTGCTTGGGCTTCCAGACTGTCTTACACAGACGAGCCTCTGCAGCCCAGCAGAGTTTTGCCCTGTGAGAAACAGAACTCAAGGTGAGCACCAAAACGGGCATGAAATGTGCTAATTAATTTTGGATGTCGTGCCTTCAAACCCTAAGAGAACAGAGATTATTAAAAATCCTGAGCTCCACATCACCCATCACACACCCCCTCAGGACAGACACTGCCCCTGGGGCTCTACCCTAAAGCAAGCTTGAAATACTTTCCATTAATACTTTGAGGTCTCGAACAGACACGTTGGTTCTATCCCCCAACCCCTAATTTGTCTTCTTCAGGAAGCTTTTCTGATCCTGCCAACAGAAAACTGGTAATGTAGCAAAAAAGAACTGGAACGGGCCCCCCTCCAAAGCCTGATGTGACAATTCCTACCCCTTACACAGCAGCTCCTTCCTCTGCCTGACCTCTGCCATTTTAGTCGCAAGAATGATATAATTCCAAAGTCATATCAAATACCAAGAAACTACAGATAGAAACACTACACTTCACTATTAATAATTCACATAAAATCACAAAAAAACATCAGTTTGCATAACAGAACAACAGAATTGAGAGAATCCCCAAATTTACTCTCTGTCCTAGCTTGTCTTTCTCCAAACATGAGCAGCAGTATTTAAAAAAATAAATTAGCCAACTCATTTAATAAAACAACTGGGTAAATTGAAGAGATACATTCACATTTTAATTTTGAATTTGTTTACATTTGTCTACCAGTAGCCCAGCCTTAGAAAGCATATTGTTACATAAAATCCCCTGATGTCATAACCTTCTCCCTCAAAACCTGATCATTCTCACTGTTAGGGACAATGTTAAAAAGGTTTTATTTTGTCCTGTCAGTAAAGATGTTTGAGGCAGACTTCCTCAGTTAAAAGAAAAAAAAAAAAAAAAAAGGAAAATCTGTAAGTTCTAGTTTTGTTTTGTTGGTTTTTTAGAAAATTATATATTACATATTTGATCAGTTCTTCATGTTGCAGAGGTACCAACGAGCATTGCTATTGTTACCTTAGGGAACTCCCTATTTTTTCCACACAACCAGGCTAAGATTATAGGTTAGAGAAGTCAGAAAAAAACCCTCCACCTTATTATCTTTTTGTTCAATGCAGTGAGAATTAGTTTGCCTCCCCACCTCCTCCCAGGTAAGACTTGTGCTTTAAACTGCACCCGTCTTGCTCAGCTCAGCACACTGAAAGTAGACAGGATAAAAAGCAGTTTGAATGTTTAATGAGATGAGAATCAGGGCTGAAAACGATTAATTACAAAGCCTGTGCTCGTGGCTGAAATTCAAGCAATCTCTGCACTACAGTAAAATACAATTTACCCATAACTGACACCATCCACTCACAGGATTGAAACCAACCAGTTATGACCGAGATTAAATCTGGTTTTCCTCAGAATTTGTCCTGTCAGTCAGGAGACAGATTTTTCAGTGTAAGGTTTTCATTAGCAGAGCTTCAGAAATCCCCATTTGTAGCTTATTTTGTTTACAAAGAAGCTTCAAAGTTTGTCATAGAACAGCAAGGTTTTTTTTCCCAATAGATGAGTTTTCAGAGATATCAAGCTGAGGAAGAAGGGTACAGTCTTGGATTTGGACTGCAAATAGATGTTTGCTTGTAAATATTTTTTTCTGTTATAGAAACTCAACATGTATTTTAGGGATGAGGACCTGCTACTGTGTGAGATTTCCACTGACAGTAATCTATGGCCCTGATCCTTATCACAGTTAGTAGGAATTTTATCATCTGCTTCCATGGAAGAGGTCTCATGAGTGCCAGCATTGTTAGGAACACACACAGCACATTACACACAGTTGGGGAAAGAAGAGAACTTACTCTCTTCCTGAGTAATTTATGGAATTTTATAACAACTTTATCACTCTTTTAGACATTTGTATAGCACCAATAACCAACAGTATTGTCACTAAGGCACTGGACTGGCACTCAGTCACGGGCTCTGCCTCCAGATCTGGGGTCAATCTCCTGTGTTTGTCTTTTGTTTTTACTGGTACATAACTTTTGACACTGGAAAATAGGATAAATAATACAAAACATCCTACACCATTGACAGGAATACCATGCCACGACGAATGACAAGGTGCTCAGATTCTGAAGGGACTAACATGAATATTTCTGTGCATAGATTTACTGGCAAAACAAAACCATCCTGCAGGTCTCAGTTCCAGGCAGCACAGTGGAGCAGAGTCCGCTTCCCTTCCTCTGGAGTTAAGGACATACGCTCAGTTCAATCCTATCCTCAATGCCACAATTCAAAACAGTTTTTAGATAAATGAAGATAAGCCCTCAGGGCTCCTGTCTGACAGCTGATCCAGGATGCTTTCCTCTGCTTTTGCATCAAAGTCTGCTCCTCACAACTTACACAGCTCCAGTTTCAGCCTTTAAGAGAGCAGTTTTTGATGCTTTCAGAGGCAGCTGAATCCTTTTCTAGTCTGTGGTGGCTTTGCCTCTCCACACTACTAAAAAAGAAAAAAGCCTTCAGGAGTTATCACTACTCTGCTGCATCACATTGAATGTGTGTTCTGATGGAAAAAAATTACTAAAAGTTCTTGGGTTGAAATAAGTTACTGCAAATGCACAGTAGCTGATTTTGAAACCACAACATCTCTACAATTTATTATTATTTTTACAAAATACCCAAAGTGATCAGACCATATTGTAGGTTACTGGCTTGCCGAAGGTTGTTTTAAAATCAAAACCATTTCTGAGTTACAGAAGTGCCAAAAACAATCTTGAACCAGGTTTGTTTGTTGGTATTTTTTTTGCTGTTGTTGTTTTCTTTTTAAACCAACCCCCATCCAACAAAACAGTTGTATAACTTAAAACAGAAACAAGAGTTTGTGTTGGAAAACTGTTTAAAAACCAACCCACCAAATCATGCTTGAGCAGAAGCCTTGTATGGCAAAGGTTCAGCTTAGGGCAATTTAGTGCCAAGGTAGAGACCCTCCATAGGTTCACAATGGAAATACTGACACAACCTCAACTACAGTGATGCAAATGTGCCCTAAAAACACTGTATTTGCTTTTATTAATAAAAGTGGTAGTGTTTACATTTGCAGGTATCTTACACTTCAGCATCACGATGAATACTGAGTAGAATGAGTTAAGTTTTGGCTGCAAGGTCAGAAGTTTCCAAACAAATGAATGAGACAGAAGTGACAGTCCTCAATCATGAAAACAAGAAGTTCAAATAAATAAATAAAACAAAACTAGGAAATATGGGTAAGCATTAGGTTGGAATGGTTCAATTAACTGCAAATTATGGCCACTAAATTCAAGACAGAAGAAAACACAGTTACTTATTAAATAGCAAGCATTAAAGCTTTATGGTTTTGTAAAAAAAAAAAAAAAAAAAAAAAAAAAAAAAAAAAAAAAAAAAAAAAAAAAAAAAAAAGAAAAAAAGAAAAAAAGAAAAAGAAAGCTGTTAAAAATAAGACTTGCATTTACCAGGCCACCAAACTGCATGGACTAATAAAGAGACTAACAAAGGCAATACTGAGACATTAAGACACACACACTCTGTACTTGTGCAACTCAACCATATTCAAAACAATTGCCTTTTTTTCCTCACATAAGAAAAAAAAAAAA